ATTCGATTTTAACCCCACTGCGAAACCTCTTCTAAGGATGCCTAACCTGAAGAAGTTACCCTCCTCCCTCCGGACAAACCTCAAGGGATCTCTCTCCCACTGCAACTCTCTCGTAATCTCTTCGGCCCTGAAACTGCTCGACCATGTCCTGAAGCAAACCAGGTACTACAGCCACATCACCTTCCTTAGCACCTGCCTACGGAACCAGATCATCCCCAATGGACTACAATCCACATTCAAGCCTTCCCAATTTGGCCCCAACCGTGATAATATCTACACTCATGGGGTTGAGATCCTGCAGAAGCGTTTCTCCCTGCGACTCCTGAAACACACACTCGCAGCGATGCGCCGGCATCTCCAGGCACTACAATCAAGCCTACCCCAGCTCAGAGCCACCCTCTCCCAGACCTGCAAAGGACCTCTCCTGTTTTTTATTCTACGTAGGATCCACAACCTGAACTCCCAATTCTACTCAGCTTTATTGGACACTAAAAACCGTAAGTACAGTAAACTTACAGGTGCCTACCACCCAAAACGGGCTTCCTCCACCCCCCAAATCCCCAGCCGTACCCAGGACCTTCCCCACAATGGGTCCGCCGCCATTGGCCATGAGGCCACTATCGGAGAACCCACAGATGACAGCCTTTTCTGATGAAGGGTCGAGGCCCGAAACGTCAGCCTCTCTGCTCCTATGATGCTGCTTGGCCTGCTGTGTTCATCCAGCCCTGCACCTTGTTGTCTCGGATTCTCCAGCATCTGCAGTTCCTACTATCTCTGTGTAAAACCTTGACTGGTTTTTCCCTTCTCCAACACAGGGACTTTGACCCAATTCTGACACTTGTATCATTTCTGAGATAACCTGTTCTGATTCAGCCCATCAAGTTTGTACCACCAAAGCTGCACTAAATTGACATTAATCCCACTTTCCAGCATTTGGTCCATAGCCTTGAATGTTGTGACATTTCAGGTGCTCATCCCAATGCTTTTTAAAGGTTGTGAGGTTTCCAATTTCAACTACCCTCCCAGGCAGTGAATTTCCAGGCCCTTATCACCCTCTGGGTGAAAAGTGTTTTCCCAAAATCCCCTCTGAACCTTCTGCCTTTCACCTTAAAATTATGTCCTTCTTGTATTGACCATTCATGCCCCTCATAATCTTGCACACCTCTATCAAATCCCCCCCTCAACCTTCTCTGCTTCAAAGAAAACAACCTGACCTTATCCAGGCTCTCTTCATAGCTAAAGTGCTCCATCCCAGGCAACATCTTCGTGAATCTCCTCTGCACCCAGTCCAGTGCAATCACACCCTTCCTATACTGTAGTGTCCACAGCTTCATGCAGTACTCCAGCTGTGACCTAACTAAAGTTTTGTATAGCTTCAATATGAACTCCCTGCTCTTATAATCAATGCCACAACTGATAAAAGCAAGTGTCCCGAATGCCTTCTTAACTACCCTATTAACCTGTCCAGCCACTTTCCGGGATCTGTGGACCAACACCCCAAGATCCCTCTGTTCCACTGAGCTTCTTAGAGTCCTGCCATTCCCTGTTTTAAGTCAGTAGCCTTCTGGGACGAGAGAAGTTGAACCTGCAAGGGTGCATTGTCCTGAGCTGCTTGCCTGTGGACGGGGGAGTGGGATACAGAGTGGAGACACTGTAAGGGAGACACCGATGAACAGACAAGTATAGAAGAAAAACCAAGTCAGTCTGGAAGGCACAGTGTATATAGTCAGGTTAAAGCACAAGGGGAAGAATGCAAGGTTGGATGGCACTAATTTTAATGCAAGGAGTCACACTGAGGCTATTGATTCACACATGGGGATATGTTATAATTGGTATCACGGAGACAGGGTTACGGGAGGGGCAGGACTGGGAGCTCAACAATTAGACTGAGGTCTAGAAGCATAACGGCATAAAAAACCCCTTACTGATCATTGCATTAAATTAATAAAATCATTTAATTTTGAGATATGATGGATGTAATTGCTTAAGATGTTCCAAGGTAAGCATCTCCTTGATCCCTTGAAGTTTCAAAATTCATTATGTCCTGTACGTGTAATTCAAGGTTTACTTTAACACCTTCAAAGACAAAACAAACAAATACTCATAATTTATATTTGTACAGTATCTCATTTTCATGAACATGAATAAGCATGATGTTGCACTATCCCATAATTGTAAGACTAGGTACTTCAGTGATGCTGATTTTTAAAAATGGTGAACCTCACCCTGAACTGCATTCATGGAAAGAAAGAGAAAAAGCTGGAAAAAGCAACTTGGGGTAAGAATTAGCTGGAGCACATTCTGGTTAGAATTAGCTGGAGCACATTC